AACATAAAAGTTAAATATAAAAAAAAACAACAAACAAAACAAAACCAACAGAAAGATAATGATTGTAATGTCTTCTAATAAATCTGCTGCGACAACTCATAAAATGATCAAAATTGAAACAACGCTGCGATTCTTGTTTGCTGTCAACCATGTGAAACATTTCTATTTCTGAATATTCAACCATTCTATCGTTTGAAAATATATTATCGGTATTAAACTGTACGCTCACTGAGCAGACGCACACAAATGTTTGGCTGACACGATTAATAAACACTGTCTAAAGTGCTTAAGTAGGGTTTTTCAAATACATCCAAAACATTTATTAAAAGATTTTTAAATAAAACTTCACAAAAACTTTGAAAAACAAAACAAAACTTAAACGTATATAAATCAAAACAACGCTGCAGGAGATAGGACCCAGTAGCAACACGCATGGCATCACACGACGCAACAAAACACGACGCAAAGTCGGTTACATGAAGAAAAAAAAAAGTTTGTTTCAACGTGCCAGGCAGCAACCTGCTGTTGGCGTGCATTCATTTTAATGTTTTTATTTTTAAATCTATGTACTTTTTTTAAAGTATGTTTTACATTTGCAGCTGTGCATGAGATTTTCAAGAATTTAAACATACAAGGTGGTACTAAGCGTTAGTTCACACATATTAAATAATAAGATCTTTACAAAATATTTTTTATTATTTTTGTAGCGCAATTTTTTCCAAATTTCAGAAAAATTGTTTGAATGTTTTGTTAAAGCTTATTTTCGCGTTGAACGCTTTTATGCAACTGCTCTCGTTGACTTTTGAGCATTCGCCAAATCTTTGAAAGCCTGTCGATTTCTGCTCTTTCATGAATTGACTGCCATTTAAAAAATGTCGATATTGAAATCATTTAATCGGTTGTAAATTTGTAATGACGCATGTTGTGCGTGCCTATGAAGGAGTATGAATGCAGTGATGGAGCAGTCTCGAATGTTTCCTCATTAATCACTCACCTCACCACATAATAGCTCTTTCACTTAACGTACTTCAGTGATTTATCCTCATGCTTCACCAGCTTTTATTTTTGTCACTTCTTATTTTTTAAAGTTTTTGTCGTTGGTTTTGTGTTGTTGTGCGTCCTTGCAAAAACGTGTTGAACGATGACGTTTAGATATATTTAACCATTATTTGTTTATTCATCTACTGAATTTTAAAATATTTGCTCTACACGCGTTCACTTGCGAGTTTTAAAAATGTGTGCGCGCATGAGTTAGCAACCTTTCGTTTTTGTTTTCATCCTCGCCTTTCAGTTGACGGTTATGTATGCGTGCTTGCAAGTTCGATTGCGAGTGAATGCTTTATTTACAAATGCATGTTCTTCTGGGTTTGTATGCTTGTATCGCATTGCTTGTTGGCTTCACCAACAAGTGGAGTTTAGAAGCGAAATTCTGCATGTACGTCAAGCAAATAATGTCTCAAAGCTTTCTAGCACGATTCCTTTTATGATCTGAAGAATGTTAGCGCTGACTGGGAATGTTTAAAATGACGTGAAACCGTCGAAGTTCTTAATTTCTCGCAACTGTACTCGGCCTGCCACCCTCAAAAACAAAAATTAATTTTTCAATTTTTTTAGGAGTTAACAAAATTTTGTTTTTCATAAAGTTTTTTGGACAAAATGTTGAAATAACGCAAACGTTTCAACTTTGAAACTTCAATGAAAAAATTTTAATGAGTGATTTTTTATTTTATCCAGAAAGTTAAATTAATCATTTTCATTAAAAAGATTTGCAAAATTTAAAAAAATTATCTTGTAATTAACAGCAAAGAACTCATGCGTGCAAACAGCAATGAAGGATAGAATCGCCTGCAAACTCAAAAATGTTATTATCTAAAACAAATATTTTCAAAAGTTACAATTAAATAATTAACGATGTGAGCGGACATATCACTGAGATAAATGGCGATCCGTAAGAACTAAGAATCTCAGTTTTTAAGTCAAACTCAGCCAAAAATGGGATACAACAACGGCCTGCCTGCTACGTACGGCCTATGTTTGTCTAGTCTCGCAACTGAATAAATAGACTTCATTTTGTATATTTTTTTATTTCGTGTGCATCTGTTTGCTGGTCTGGGTGTGTGTGTTGCTGCCGACTGCGCGTGTATGCCACGTATTCAGTGAGACCTAGACGCATATTTGCCTCTTCATAGCATGGGCGGTTGGCAAAACCAATTATATCAAATTCAATAATAACCATAAAAAAAGGTGAGTAAGTGATAAAAAAAAACAAATAAGAGAAAAAGAGAAAGAAAAAAAGAACAGAAGAAAGAGAGAAGGAAGAAAAAAAAGAAGAGAGAAGATGAGGTAATGTTGGGAGGGGAGTAAGAGAGTATGAGATAACAAAGATCTTGAGCATGCATCAGCTCTTTAAAAAGATTCGATTGAGTCTGCAAAGGAATGTTGAACAAATGAGCTTGTTGTTTGTTGTTTAATTAGATATTCTCTTATTATCATTCGTTTCTTTTCTGATTGTTTTGCTTTTTATATTTTTGCCAATCGTTAATTTGTTTTTTTTTAGATATAAAACTTTGATTAATTTTATTTTGGCATAGATATGAAAGTTTTGCAATTTAATGATCGAGGTGTCAGCTTCCTAGGTAGACATCAAACAACCGCCACAAACTACATTCCACTGCCATGGTCCTCTCTTCTAAGAAATGCATTAGACGAGCCGCATGCTAGCATCCACTCATTGGAACCTCTACACGAAGTCCATTTCTTCTGAACGTTCTAGCAAAGAAGTTACTTTCAATGTAAAAGTCACACGTAACTTTTCTTAAATAAAATTTATTCTTAAGAATTACAATTATTAAATGTTAATTAAATGTTCAAATTAATTGTTTAATTAAATATTAAACATTAAATATATTCAAATGTATTTGTTCTTTGTGCCGTCTGCACAATGATATTTAAATAACTTTTCACTAGTGATTTATTATTGAAACAACACTTCATTCAGTCTAACAAATCTTCAACCAAATTTTTAAGGTGTTTTATAAACTATTGAGGTCATTTTATTTTCACAACAATGTCAAACATTCGAAGGCAACCATAAAATCATTATTATTAATTACATAAACAACATTTTATTAACACTTATTCAAAAAATATGATAATTATTTTGAAGAATACCTTCTGTCACACACACTCACCGAAGTTACACAAACTGAACTAATTAAATAAAAAGCAAAGCTAACGACTTAACGACACATAATTTCTATAGCAAGCGTAATGTTTCTTAAAATTTATCCAGAACATGTTGCAAATTGCATGGAATCAAATGATGATGTCATGATGTCATGATGTCATGATGTCAGATGGTGATGTGACGGTATGATGATTCAAAACGGTGATACGAGGACAGGATGAAGTTATGTGAAAATGTGATGAAGACACGATGTAGTTAAATGATGACGTCATAATATGAAGATGTAAGATGGTAATGTTAGACATGATGGTGCAATATGTCGCTGTGATGATGTCAGATAATGGTGGATGGTATGATGATGTGGTGATGTGATGATGACGTCAGCAGATGATGATGGTGTGAAGATAGGATAACATTAGGTGATGCTAACAGCATGCAAACAAACATTTCAAATTAGGTGAAAAATATTTTAAAAATATTATAGGATATTTTTTGTTAGATGTTGGATGAAGCTCTCGCATTTATTAATTATAACAATTCTATCTCGGGATGACTGTCTGTTGTTGTGAAGTTGCTTTCTTGCAGTAAAATAAGATCAATTAATATAGGCACTTTAAAAAGACAAAATGTGTTTGTTTGTTTGATGAACAATATATATTCATTTGGTTGCGCCCTACTTAAACATTTACACTTGCACAATTCTGAGTTGTCCTCCACAACCATTAGCAATTGTATTTCAGTGAAAAGCACATATATATTAAAAAAATCAGAAATTATTGAAATTTTGTTTTTCAAATTGTTCAGAATTGTAATTAACTTATGATGTCTATAAAGACAGTTGCGATGTTCATAATTCCACCACCATGGTGATAACTGTCGCATGCCGGTGCAAAAAACTTTTGTCACTTGAATCGGCTTTACGATCTTTGGTCTTTAAGACGAGCGTGCAATCTTCCATCTTATTTCCCTGCAAGGCCTTGAGACATCCATCTATTCAATTCCGACAATAACTTTGTTCAGCATTGCATGTAAGCACGCAACAGGCTTCCATACAATTACATAAACTCTCTAAACAAACAAACAAACAATCAGGAAGGCAAACTTCACATTCCGTTCGTTCACGTGGTAGCGCGTTCGTTAAAATTAAAAAAAATGTTTTCATAAACATTTCTATCAGATCAAAATTTAAAATTTAAATAAATGCTGTGATACAAATAGTTCCCAATGACGTCCCATATTTAAACACAAGTTGAATGAAGTAAACTGACCGCTACTCAATTTCCCATCATGTTTCATTTCACTGCCCAGATTTGTTTCGTTCGAAAAAAATCATTTAGAGACTAAACCTTTTTAAAACAATATAAAATGTCATGACATGCAACAAGTTTGTACAAGAAGACCAGCACACCTTTCCACCTCATTCTGGAACGTACTATCTATTCATCTACCTAGTCATTATCTACGTATCTATCTATTTATCTATCAAGAAATCTGCCTTTATTTCTTTTATAACACATTTGTTAAGTTATATCTGGTGATGAGCGTCAACACTTTTGAAATACTTTTCAAGTATTTAACAATATCAAGTATGTGTGTGTATGTATGTATGAATGTATGTATGTATGTATGTATGTATGTATGTATGTATGTATGTATGTATGTATGTATGTATGTATGTATGTATGTGTGTGTGTATGTGTGTATGTATGTATGTATGTTAAAACCAAAACATGATGAGTGACACTGAACCGTCAAACATCAAGTAACAAATGGATTAACACTTTGATTTGTCGTTAATTGCACATGTCGGCATTCAGTTGGATATTTTTAAGCACACAGACACGCAGGAACCGCTGCAACAAGCACGAAATGTGGTTAGTTGCGAAAAAGGGTCCCTGCTGTCGCCTGATCTGACGCTGATCATTTTACATATTGCCTCAAGAAATTTAAGGCTGTTTGGGTCCATCGGGCCGAAAACCTCCATACATATTGGCAAGAATTCCATCGAGGGGAGGGCGTTCCCATATTTTTTCATTTTCTCGTCCGCTGCCCTGGCCGCGGCCAAACCGCATTCTTTACTTGTCAGGTTTACGTATCGTTCGGCGAGGGTGCCAGGAACCGTAACATCCCACGCCAAACATCTGCCGGCTCTCCAAGGTATTAGTGTATGCATGTATGTATGTATGAATGATTGTATATCAAATTTGTGTACACTTGACTTTACATTCATCCATCGATCTATTAATCAATTCCTCCAACTGTAGGGGCGATCAATTGAGAGGTGCCTGGTCAGATGGAAGAAACAATTTTCCGCTTCGTTACATACCATCCTCCTCCTACAACTGCTGACAGAAACAAAACATATCCTACAACAACAACAACAACAACAACGTCAAAAACATTATCACAACAACAAAAATAAAAACTACAACAACAACTAAAACAACAACAACAACAACTACAACAACAACAACAACGTCACAAACAATATCACAACAATAAAAATAACAACTACAACAACAACTAACACTACTATTATTATTAATATTAACTACTAACTACAAAATCATCATCACAAACACTACCACCACCACAACTACAAAACGAACAACAACATAACAGCAACATCACAAACAGCAACACAACCACCTCAAAAACAACAATATCATCAACAAAAACAACAACTATTACAACAACAGTCATTACAACAACAACAGCCTCACAATCAACAACAACAAAATTGAACAACGTCACAAAAACCAACACCCCAGCAACAACAGCATAATCATCAGCCACAACAACAACACGAACTGCAACAACAACAATGAAATAATAAACAATTTGATAGGTGGTGATCTCTGAGCAGTAGGTGACCAGGCATGCTGTGTCGAGTGTGGTCGGTGAAGGGACATTCAATAAAAGGCTTATACTATTCTAAAAGTTACATTAATATTCGAAATAGTTTCACTATTTTTAAAATGAATGCAATAACGTGATGGTTGCAAAACTGTGTAGACCGCCTGTCTGTCTGTCTGTCTGCCTGTCTGTCTGTTAGTCTGTGTGTGTTTGTGTCGGGCTTTCTCCTTGTCCGTCTGTTCGTCAATTTGTTTCTCTGTCTGTCTGTTTGTCTGTCTGTCTGTCTGTATCCTGGTAATGTGGCTAACAATGGAATGTTTGAAAGTGGGAAAATGGAAATGTCTTGCCGATATTGGAAAACCAATGATGATGTTAGTGATAATGTGACGAATGTGGTGATGCGGTTTTGACGATCTACAGTATAATTAGTTGCACCAAATAACTAAGACTATGATGACGACGAAGATGATGATATATTAAAGGAAGACTGAGGTAAAATATGATGATGATGATGACGACGACGACGACGATGGTGATGATGATGATGATAATATTTGAGATGTGATTGAATAAATACAAATACGACGATGATGATGATGATAGTATTTGAGATTTGATTGAATAAATACAAAAACTAATTATGTTATCAAAAGAATGTTATTATAAGATAGGATGATGATGATGATGATGCTAATGATGGTGATGATGAAGGTTATAGGAGGGAGTTGTGATGTTGGATGATTCTTAACATATTTATGCTCAGGTTGCTAATTGTTTTGGCGAAAAAGTATTCTAACGTAGAAGAAAATGATGATGAAGATGATGATGATCGTGATGATAATGATGATTTTTCTGATGCTGATATTTGAAATGAATCATCCATCTCCACATCCATCTCATCATCATTTTCATCATCCTCTTTATTGTCATCTTCATCATCATCTTCATCATCATCTTTCTCCTCCTCCTCATCATCATCTTCTTCTTCCTCATCATCACATCATTCAGAGCCTTTAATGTCATTATTTCTTTATGATATTTTGCAAGCATTAAAACGGGATTTAATGAGATTATCTGTAATTTAATATAAGACATTTCCTCGTCATCAGCTTTCAAACTGATTATGGAGCTTTAAGGATGACTTCCAAACAAGTTTGTGTGGTGTCTTATACGGTGGGATGGAGTTAAGTTAGCACTAACTTGTTCATAATGAAGTGATCAATGTATGTAATAGTGTCATTATTACAACCTGATAAAACTTGAATATTTTTTAATCCATCTATTAATTTTAATGTATGTTTGATTCAAAAATTTATTTATCAACTTGATAATATTTGCTTTGTCAACATTTTATTTAACTAATTATTCAACTGTAATTAATGTGAATTGTGTTAAGTTAGCAACAAAAGTTTGTAACTTTCACGAAAAGTCGAACAAGTGAATCTATTAAAGAGACATTCAATCACATCAACCTTTTAACAGAGGAGTGACTGCATGTTAATATCGGTTCATCGGCATTTCAATAAATCACTCAACCCGTCATGTTGCATCAGTGCCAGTGCATCACCAAGCTGTGCCACATCATTACATGATAATTAATTTCAGCACACCATTGCATTAACACGTCATCACAATATGCATCGCACTCAATCAATACCTCCTCACATTACGTCAACACATCAACACATCACATCAACACTCAATGCTTAAAGTTAAAACTTTTATCATCACGTCATCACATGGTTATATATAAATATATATATTGTATATCATATATATATATATATATATATATATATATATATGTGTGTGTGTGTGTGTGCGTGTGTGTGTGTGTGTGTGGTGTGTGTGGTATGTGTATTTGTTTGTGTATGTGTGTGTAAAAGAGAGAGAGAGAGAGAGGGAGAGAGAGAGAGAGAGAGAAAGAGGAAAGTAAAATTACATAAAATTACATAAAAAATGGAAAGAAACTTTCAGCACGATTAATGTCACCGTGATGAAGTTAAAGTGTGATGATGATGGTGAGGATAATGAGGATGATGATGATGATGATGATGGTGAGGATGAGAGTGATGTCAACAACACGTGGTAGAGTGTGTTGAATTCATTGAAAATGTTTGCCTCATATCGTCCGCAACAATTTAGTTAGAAATTAAATTTTTCAGAAAATACTTTTAATTGAAAAACTTCTTTTCATGGTTTGCTTGTAGTGTAGGAGTTAATTGAATGAAAGCTGCGATGATGATTTAGATAGGCGCTCAATGAAAAGGATGGTCGCCATAGCAACCAAGATAATGAAATCTCGCTGACGTGGGTGCTGATTATGATGAAGATGAAGAAGATAATGATGGTGAAGATGATAGCATTGATGGAGAATGAAGATGGTATTGAGAGTGATGATGATAGTGATGATGATGGTGATGTAGATGTTCGTGCCTGATGAATGGTCGAGAATGCATGGCATGTGGGGAGGTCACATTTGGATTTGGATTTAATTGTTCTTTCGTTTTCCGATGATTGCAATATTTATATATTATTTAATTAAAATTAATTAATTGAAGTAAAATATTTAAAACCAAAATAGTTATCAAAGATTAATTGTTTGGCAAGTTTGTTGAAATTCAATTGAATGTTATTTCAGTTTGCACTGTGAATACGAGGCGCTGAATTGAAACAAAACTTCCTCCTATCAATCAGATGAACGTCTGAACATGCCAAAGTAACAAAAATGCCTTCCTAAGTTTTCATCTCGACCATAAAGCACAAAATTATAAAAATGACTTTTTGAATATTTTCACGTCTGAACGCTCCAGCAACTTTTTGGGGCTCTACTCACTGCATTCACTCGCGCATCGATGGATGCCACCCACCCACGCATGAGGTGCATTCCATGCATGAAGTGTTCTCCATGCAAGGTGCATTCCTTGCGGTTGCTCATCAAGTAATCAACCCACAAAATATTACATGATTAAAACATGAACAGTGGAAGTTTGCTGAGAAGGAATAAAATATTTACGATGAAATATGCAGCACAAGACACAAACAATACGCCCACAAATTGCACGACATACAAACGCGTAGAAAGAGGCAGCAGACATACAAACACAAACCAACAATAAAGTCATATATTCTAAATAAAAACTTACACGCCAACACATAAAAAATTGATTCTGCTTAGAAAACTGATTTAGCCTGTACAAAACTCATTGTGACAATACGAGGAGATGCAAAAAGAAACAAATTTTTTTACAACTACTGCATATTATATTAGGTAGTTATATACACAACTATTTTATTACACTCAGAACCTTACACACACGTGTACATACATGTATAATGCATACAAACAAGCAAACTCAAGCACTATTACACCACATAAAAACAAACACACACAGTATTAACATACAAACACATGTCTCATGCACACAAACAAACACATCTAAATACATGTACCACACACACATACACACAAATAAATGACATACAAGCACATGTACCACACACGCACACACACACACACACACACACACACACACACACACACACACACACACACAACAACCCAATGCCACACAAACATTCACATACAAACACCTGAACCACATATACACACGCACCATGCATAGAAACTACTTGGTACGACACCACAGGGATGATTTTAATGCGGATGCACCAACTTTCTAACAACGTCCTCATCGACGCGTATCCAAAATATGCCGACTGGCTGGCTGGCTGGCTGGTGCATTGTTAGCAAGCCGACTGACATGCTTCCATGTTCTCAAATTTTTATGTCTTCGTTCCTTCATATAAACCTTTGATTTTACGACTTTATAACTGGTTGAGTGTATGGGAATACATTTGTAATGTGTTTTTTGCATTTGTTTTTATAATTATATATGTATAATTTGTATATATATATATATATATATATATATATATATATATATATATATATATATATATATATTTACTTCTAAGTGAGGGTGAGTTGGATTGAAGGTAGGATTTTTACCTGCGAGTAACTCTAAAGAGGTAACAGAAATGTGGAAGGCACCAGGTGATTGGGGAATTGAAAGACTGACTGATTTGTTCAATGTAATAATTAGAGAAAAAGAAATTTAAAAGATTGGGAAAAACTATAATTCTTCCAATATACAAAAAAGGGGACCCTTCCAACAGTGGATCTTATAGAGCAAGCAAGCTATTAGAACAGAATATGACGGTGATGGAAAAATGTTTAGTGCGAAGATTTAAGGACCAGGTTGGTGTTGACGAAGAGCAGTTTTTCAACAAAAAAGTACTTTTGATGCAATTTTT